CCGCGAGGCATCTCCGGGTGCGCCGCCGCTCAGGGGTGCGCCGCTGCCTCAAAGCGCCCGAAAGCTGTGCGCTGCCGAACCAACTCGGCGTGCCGTGCCGCACCGCGCGCTGCGATTGGCGGGTGCTGGGGCGGGGGGCGGGGATTCTTCGGGCGCACCGCCCCCCCCGAGGACGCCGCGCCGCGTGCTGCGATTGGCCGGCGCTCAGGAGTGGGCGTGGCTCTCCCGCCGTCCGCGCTTTCTGGAACTGTCCCACAGTGCGGGGGCGAGGAGCCGGGCAGCGGCAGCAAGCCTGGAGTGGTTCGTGCAACGCTGCTCCGCCCGCCTGTGACCGGGCCGAAGGTCGGCAGAGCGCTCTCTGGACGGGCCACAGCGCCGCCGTCGCCTCCCGGTCGGGGAGCTGCTGGGCGGGCGTCCCGCGTAGGGTCTGTCAAGCAGGTCCAGCCTTAATAAAAATAAATGTTAGCCGAAGTGGGCTATGAATTTAACAGTCGGAACTTAGGGGATGGTTGCAGCCTGGATAACCGGAGGCAGGGGTGTTACTTCCCCATCTCCTGAGGGCTGAGGGTCAGTATCCAGAGCAAGAATTTTCAAGTTCAGAGACGTCGGAATCCCCGTGGGACTTGCTATGGCTGGTGACTGAGTTTCGGACTCCGAGGGTCCGGAGTGGGTCCAGAGAACTTGCATTTCTGACAGGTTGCCAGGTAAGCTTGCCCCTTTCCGCCTCACTTTGAGAATCGGAGGCAGCGCCCTCCTTTAGACCCCGTAAGGGAGCTCGATTAAGTGTCCCTGAGCTTGGAGAATAGATTTAAAACGGAATACAGTGGGAAGGCGCCCGGACTAAGTAGAAACGGAATTAGGTTACAAAGTCAGTAGGTAGGAGTATTCTCAAATAAAGGTGTCTGTTGCAGAGAAAACTAAAATAGTGATTTAAGCGAACTGAAAAATGTCAGCCTGGATAGGTGGAAAGGATTCCCATTTTTAACCTGACAGCTATAGCAGAAGTGGAGTTTGGTCTTATGCTCCAAAAGCACATATTTGTGCCTCTGTAAGAATACGTTGTTTTGCAGTTTACCCATTTTCAGTCTTTCCTCCCTAGTCCCTATTTTTTCATCATCTTGTGTTTGAGTTCTGATGCCTAAAGCCACAAATGCTTAGTATAAAGTGAGTAGTCCTTGAATGGTTAAAAAAAAAAAGAGAGCGAGAGAGAAAAGTATTAGCTTAAGGTAGACATTGCTAACACTATTACAGTCAACATGTAGAATAAGATAGATTAGATTCTAAATCTAGCGAGTTTAGGACTTAGAATATTGGGCTTCTGACTGGGACTCCACAAAGCTCTGCCATTGTTGCCTTGTGACACAGTTTGACCATCCTACTGTGTCTGTGCCTCGGCTCTGAGTTTTACAGCTGCAACCAGACCCTTCCAAGCTGCTCCAGCCGTAGACCCGTTATCTTGCCTACCTGTCATTGCCAGCTGAATGCCTGTTTTAGTCAGTTTTTGTGTGTGTGCAGACAGTGTGCCATGTCCTTCTTTGGTTTGTGGTGTCCAGTTTTCCCAGTGCCGTTCATTGAGGGGAATGTCCTTTCCCTGGTGTAGGTTCCTGGCTCCTTTCATCTGAATTAACTGACCACATACCCATAGGTTATTTCTGGGCTATCTGCTCCTCTGGTCTGTGTCCCTGCTCTTGTGCCAATTCCACACTTTTTTGGTGACTGTAGTTTTGTAATGCAGTGTGAAGTCAGAGAAGCAGATGCCTCCAGCCTGTTCTCCTTTGTGTTTCCACATGAATGTTAGGATTCTTTGTTTTGTTCCTGTGAAAAATGCCACTGAAGCTTATCTTATTTTATTGAAGTATAGTCACTTTACAATGTGCTGTTACTTTCTAGTGTAGGGCACAGTGATTTGACCAGGGTTGCCCAGTAATTTGAGCATTACTTTGGGTAGAAAGGACATTTTAACAATATTAATTCTTTCTATCTGTGAGCACAGGGTATCTTCCTATTTATCTGTGTCTGTTGTTTCTTTCCTCAGTGTCTTAGAATTTTCAGTGTGCAGGTCTTTCACACCCGTGATTAAATTTATTCCTAGGTATTTTTTTTGGATGCAATGGTAAATGGGATTTAAAAAATTTTCCTTTTTCTGATATTTCATTATTAATGTATAGAGAGACAATTGGTTTTTGTGTATTGATTTTTGTACCTTGTCACTTCACTGAGATGATTCATTAGTTCTGACAGTTTTTTTTAACATTTTTTATTGATTTATAATCATTTTACAATGTTGTGTCAAATTCCAGTGTTCAGCACAATTTTTCAGTTCTGACAGTTTTTTGATGGTTTGATGTTGAAAACTAGAAATCAGGAATTGCCCTGTTTGGACTCCATCCAGGTCATCCACAGCCCCTAAAACACAGTGGCTCCTAATCTTCCCACAGTGCCTCTAAATTACCTGTGTCTTCTACAAGGGCGATTGGCATCAGCACTTTGGATGAACTGGATCTGGTTAAGAGTGGGCCTACTATAAGGAAATCTGATGTCTTCTCTGCTTTTTTCATGTGGTGTTGACATGATTGTGTTGAAAAGTGATTTAGTTTCTAGTAATTTCAAACGTATGAAATACTTTAAATAGCATTTCACAATACTCACATTTGCTACCTGACATAAAATACTCCAGTGGGTTTTACTAAAACTGGGATACTCTCTCAAGGAACCAGCAGATAAACCCCAAATGAAGAAATTTTATGGTTCCACCTGGCAATCCCATCCACAAGCCCACTTAAGCCTTCACTGTTACCCCAAGTTATGGAAATGTGTTTTTCCATTCTGATCCAGTTTTCTTTTTCTGAAACCATTATGGCAATTTCCCTCATTTTCAAAATCTTAATGGATTTAAAGCACACGAGATAGTACAATCTGGGACTCTTGACTTCTTACACTTAGAATGTTTTCAGTGTTTATCCAGGTTGTAACATGAATCATCAGTGCTTCATTCATTTTTCCCCATTGTGATTAAAAATGCATAACATAACATTTACTGTTTAAATCATTTAAAATACACAGTACACAACAATGTAAAATGATTATAAATCAATAAAAATATTAAAAAATAAAATAAAATAAAATACACAGTACTATCACATGAACTACATTTACATTGTTATACAAATATTCTCAACTTCCATTTCCAGAATTCACTCATTTTTCCCAAGTGACACTCTATCCATTAAACGCTGACTCCCCTCAGCCCCTGGCAATGATCCGCTTTCTCTCTCTGAATTTGGCTTCTCTGGATACCTTGTATGAGTGGAATCATGTAGCATTTGTCCTTCTGTGTCTCGCTTATTTCATGTAGCACAGTGACTTCAAGATTTGTCCACGTTGTAGCATTTGTCATAATTCCTTAGTTGTTAAGGCTGTGTAGTGTTCCATTGTGTATACACCACACTTAGTTTATCCATTCATCTGTTGATGGACACTTGAGATACTTCCATCGTTTGCTATTGTGATTAATGCTACTATGTCCATGGGTGTACCCATGTCTGTTCCAGTCCCTGCTTTCAAGTATTTTGAACATATACCCTGAAGTGGAATTGATGGGATCACATGTTAACCCCATGTGTAAGATTTTGAGGAACTGCCATGT